CTTGCACTTGCCAGGCAGGTGCTATTCCACTGAGCTATCTCCCCGGCCCCAGGACTCATTTTAAAAATATGTAATCTAAAATATAGACAGCATTGCTTTTATGAGTCAAGAAACACAAATTTGTCAGAGAAATTAACACCACTTACCCTTGCTTCTAAAAATCAGTGATACATTTTAAAGAAAGTTCTGTAGGTACAAAGTTATTTACAAAATGAATGTTTGATTATTGAATTCAATATTCTATTGTCCTATGAAATAGGAAATGAATAATAGGATTTTTGAGTTAGAATTTGTTGGGATCTTTTTTACATTTTATATGTGAAAAAGTGAATTAAGGTGCTTTTCCAAGGTATACTGTAAACCAGTTGGAGAATATTTCTGAAGCTATATAATTTACCTCTCCTAAATCTGGTGGTTGCCTAATCTTTCAATATGTCTTGTATTTACTCCTTAAATTGTCCATAAGATCCACTAAGTTAATCACTTTAAAATTATGCATATTTTTATTTTTCTTTTTGAGACAGGGTCTTGATGTAGTACAGGCTGACCTTGACACTCTTATATAACCTAGGCTGGTCTCAAAATTACAGTGATCCTCCTGCCTCAGTTTCCCAAGTGCTAGGATTACGGAAATGTGCCACCACACCCAGAATTAAATTATACATATTTTCAAAGTCAAGTTTTATGAAAAATATTATCAAAACGATTCACAAAATGTGGACATAAAGTAGGATAGGTTGTTTAATTTTATAATTTCAAAGAAAGAATAAATGCTTCCCAGCATGCTTTCTATTAGGGAAATATGTAACTTTTTTTTTTTTTTTTTACTTTCTGCAAAGCTTTATTCCGGAGGGGCTCAGTCCTTCTTGGCAGCTGCCTTCCTCATAGCGACCAGGACATTGCTAAGCTCCTCATACTTCCTCTTGGCACGGATGTGCGTCCTCACCCTTTTCTTGATGAACTTGAGGGCACGTTTGTCCTTGGGGACCTTGAGCAGCTCCACGGCTTGCCACTCATAGGGAGTGAAGCCGCACGCTTCCCGGATCATGTGCTGCATGAACTTGGTGTGTTTGGTGAGACGTCCGCGGCAGCGGCTGTGCCTCGATTTGCTCACATTCTTAGTCACCTTGTGGCCCTTGTTGAGGCCCACGGCCATGGGATAGTGGAGGGCCATGGCTGCTCTTCTTCAATGACTACTGTGGCGGAAGGGGAACATGTAACTTTCTGAAAGCACCATGCAGAATTAACTTGAGTTGTGGGAAATTCACAGAAAAAGTAAAAATCAACAGCAGAAAGTTAAATTGCACTTAAATTTTAATTAAAACAGTACATTAACAACAGGAAAGCATATTTATTGAAACATAACTTTAGATGATATAATGAGGCAGAAAGTTTTCTTAGATTTGGGATACTTTTATTTAACATGTAAATTTTACAAAAATCAGAGTACACTGTGCATAGTGATGCATGCTTGTAATCTTAGCACTTGGGAGGGTGAGGCAGGAATATCACTATGAGTTCAAGGCCAACTTAAACTGCATAGTGAAACCCTGTCTCAAAAAGACAAAAAAAAAAAAAAAAAAAAAAAAAAAA